ACCCCATCTATATATTACCACAATCAGTAAACTGAATGGATACATGCACAAGTAAGTGGTGGCCGTGTGACCAATTCCTGAGGCCATGAAATGCAACTTCAGAGTGATGATGAGGAACTGCAGAAGTTGGAAGTAAACAGAATTATATTGAATATGAAAGATGTCACAAGGAACCTATGGGGTGATTAAGAATGACAGACTATCATCATAGTAGATGGGGAAATAGTTGATTTGGCATACGTATATTCCACAGTTGTGCTTAATGTTGCAAAGGGTTGGAGCCAAATTATCTGGGTTTAAATTCCAGTCTCATCATTTATGAGCTGAGTGATCCTTGTGCTTAGTGGTGTTGTGTATCTTAAGTCAATTCCAACTCCTGACAACAGTATAGGGCAGAGTAGAATATCTCCATAGAGTTTTTAGGCTGAGATGCTTAAGGAGGCAGCTCGCCCAATCTTTTCTCTCTAGAAGCCCCCTAAATGATCTGAAAGTCCAGTGTTTCAGGAAATAGTCAAGCTGTGGAACTGGCACACCACCGAAGCTCCCTCTCAGTGGTCCCTCTCCCAAAACCCACACGGACAGCCTTCCAGTTCATTCCAGCTCACGGTGACCTGACGCGGCACTGCAGAGCGCCCCCTGTGGGTTGCTGAGGCTATAACTCTTGATGGGAGGGGAGAGCCTCATCTTTCTCCAGGGCGACAACTGGTGGTTTCAAACTGCATACTCTGTGGTTAGCAACCCAAAGTGTGAGGCAGTTTAATTGTTTTTAAGGCCCCCTGTCCCTTAGATTATTCGTCTGTAAAATGAGGATAAGGATAAACTACCTTCTACATTATCAGAATTTTTTTTTTAAGTAAGCTCACTGCCATCGAGTCTACACCGACTCAGAGAGACCCTGCAGGGGTCCTCAAACTTTTTAAACAGGGGGTCAGTTCACTGTCCCTCGGACCCGTTGGAGGGCCAGACTATAGTTTAAAAAAAAAGGATGAACAAATTCCTATGCACACAGATTATTTTGAAGTAAAAAAACAAACTGGGCAAAAACACCAGGCGGGCCAGTTGAATGTCCTTGGCGGGCCACATGTGGCCCTCGTGCTGTAGTTTGAGGACCCCTGCATAGCTAGGGTAGAACTGCACCTCTGCGTTTCCAAGGCTGTAACTGTTTACAGGAGGAAAAGCCGCTTCTTTCTCCTGAGGAGCAGGTGGTGTTTTGAAATGCAAACCTTTCCCATCTAAGCCAAATGAGTAACCACTGTGCCACCAGGGCTCCTAAAATAATTAAATAAGCAAATGTTTATGAAGCAGCTTAGAATAAATGCTGGGCATATATACACAAGGAGAGAGAAAGAAAACATAAAGTTACATTTGTTAAGAAACAGAGAAGACGCAGCTCTCTCTCTCTCTCTCTCCTTCACCTTCCTACCAAAAAAAAATTAGAAAACAAACCAAAAAAAAAAGAACATTAGTTTAAGAAATGAAAAGGAAAATTTCAAATAGGCCATAAAAGACCATGCCCATTGGGCCACCCTGTAGTTCATTTCCACTCCTGGCATCCCAATAAAGTAGAACTAAGCCCATATGGTTCCCAAGATTGAAACATCTTAGGAAACACACTGCCACATCTTTCCTCTACAGAGCAGCAGCCGGTGGGCTCAAAACCAACCTTTCCATTAGCAGCTGAGTGCTTGGTCAGGGTCCCATCAGGGCTTCCAAATCATCATCAGTCAACTACATAGTGTCATCATTGTTGATTCAAACAAGGCACAAAGCATAAAACACTGCAGCAGTAAAGTTAAACAAGCACTCTCTGAATGTCCCAGACTTTTAAGCAGATGCTATACGTTTCAAGCCACCAAGGTGAAGAGTGGTTGGAAAATGATGTCGCATTACAGATCCCGAAAGAAAGACTGAAAAGTTTCATACTGACCTCTGACCAGAATGACTGCCCGAACAGAGGACCTGGTGATCCACTGGCTCAGTATCTCCCCAGAAGATGGGACAAGTGAAAAGAAGCATTCACACGGGGAAGGCTTTGAGCTGGTATCTGGGAACATTTCTGTATCACAAACTACCAAGTATCAGAATGGATTGCTGAAAAGGGCTAAGGAGACCTTTGGAGGTCTTTCAAACAAGGATCGATAGGGGCTATCTGAACTGCCTAGAGTGGTTTAAAGTCAGTGCCGAGTGAAGATTAATGGTGCAAACTGCCCCTTGAAGGCCTTCTTCCCAGGAAGCACTCTGGGAGCTTAACTTTATATATTACCCATCACAGTCCCTCCTCTGTTGGGGTTGAACAACTCCCTTGTATCCTAAAAAAGGGCAACACTGTTTCATCGTTTTGAGTTCAGAATCCAACATCAATAAAGTCAGTGAGGAAAGTGAATGCCCTTATTACTTCTCAGTTATTTTACAAGCAAGCTACCTGCAAATATCTTTCAACTAGAAACAGCAATCATTAATCAGAAATCTTAATAGCAGTTATTTGAAAAGCATGTTGTCTGGCAGCCTGTTGGCATATGCTGTTTCTCAAGCACACCAGCAAAAATTCAAAGAAGGAGTTCACAACAGAGATAACCAGCATGGGGCTTCTGAACTGTATTAGGTCATCATCATCAAGAATGAGGAGAGAAAGAGTGTAATCCTGGACTACCGGGCCATATTTCCTAAGTGGTTCTTTCAGCAGCAATAAATTGTACCGGTGAAGTTTGCTTTGAAAATAGCATGGAGCCACAAAGACAAAAGTAGCTTTCATCTATTTTCTTATCAAGTGTGCCTCTGACCCACAATGCCCTGTGCCTTGACTGCAAGCACCAATGCTCCACGAGCAGCGGACACCAGGCTTAAGGCGAGGTCAAAAGTGCCCTTAGTCCTAAAACTGAATTTAACCAAAGTGCCCACAGACTAGAAATGTATAGCTTGTTAACAAACACTGCAATTGCGTAGGGCAGGTGTGGGGGGGTGGGGGGCGGGGGTTTGACCAGTAGAAGAAGAAGAAAAAAAACTTATGCAGGACTGAATTTGTTATATCAACCACTAGGGATATTCTCAACAAATTAAATGGTGGCTTCCAAATTTATTTACATTGAGAATATTCACTTCGGTGATAGGAAAATTTGCCACTTGCGGAGAATCAACGGTAGCCCCGTGTGTCCCATTCACCACTAAAAAATATAGAAGCAATTTAAAAATCCTTAACTATTTTCTCCTTTGAGATACCTTATCTGAAATCATGTTGACAAGTATCTGTGTTTCAGAGATACTGTTAGAAAAGGCCCAGATTAGAGGGGAAAAAAGTCCTAGAAAAAGTCCTACAAGCCTGTAATAGTTGAATTCCCTGCCTGAGATTGGGGAGGGGAGAATGGCGGAGGAGAAAGGCTGATTCTTATCAATTAATTAAAAAGAATGAGCGAACAGTAGACAGAGGGGAAGGAGAGTGGAGAAACTTCAGGAGCTGTGGGGACAGTTGCCTCCGTTCATTGATGAACAAATTAAGGAGTGCAGGAAAGGGGACAGAGAAGTAGCCTTCTCGGTCGACACAGGTTCCGCCTCAGACCCGCCAGAGGCTTCGGCGAGTTAGGAATTGGAAAAAGACTCCCTCTCTCTGTATTATGTCGCGCTGCCGGCAGACCTGTGGGCTTTTGTCCCTCTCAGTTCTCTTTGGGGGCAATGCTTAATTTACATAAACGCGTTCATTTCAGCGTGCGCTAAAAACCTTTCCTGGAGTTTGGAGATCAACGGCAATAAAGTCACAAATCCACGAAGTGTGAAAACTGCGGTGCTTGAGAATAATCTGCAAAATGCTTTCTCATGCTTCCACCAGAAAGCTCTTAGGCAAAACGCAGGCGAGCTGGGGGGACGCGGCATTTTGGAAGGCAACCTCGGCCGCTGGACGCGCGCGGCCCGCGCCCTCGCAGCATCTCCGAGCCCGGCGCGGTTCCGCTCGCACCCGGCGGGGAGCTTGGCTCTCCGGGACGTGTCCACTCCCGGAGCCCCAGAGAAGCGCCCAGTGGTTGGAAAGAAGAGCCCGACAACACGCACCCGGCGGCTCAAGCAGTTACGAGACCAAGTGCTAACCAAAGCCTGGCGCCCAAGGAGGGGGTGGGGGCTCTCGGGCTCTCCCCGAAGGACTGCTAGTGGCCTTGGACACGCGGGTCACGGGGTTCGAGCGCCCCAAGCCGAGTACCCAAATAAGCTTCGTCACTCAGTGGGTGGGGGAGCCCGGGGCGCCGCGCCGCGTGGCTGAGGGGTCCCCCAACCACAAGTGATCGACAGCCAGGAGGGAAGCGCTAAGGAACCGTCACGGGCAAACCCGCCTGAATCCGAACCCAGCAGCTTGAAAACTCAGTCTTCAACTGCGGGTGTCCCGG